AAAGCTGTAAAAAACAATACAGACTGCTCACTTAGTCAATTACATTATGTAAAAAAGTAATGTCAAGTAATTTTGAAGTTACAGGGTTTGTTGGTTTTTTTTGTTTGTTTTGTTTTTTGTTTTATATGTTATGTTTATATCTTAGAACAAGCTGAAATGAGAAAGGTATATTCTTGAAAAATTAAATGCAAACTCAGTAAGTTGAATTTGACTAAGAATTGTTTTACTGTTTGTTCTATTGTCATTTAATCTGTATGTCCTGAAATTAGAAACTGAACTTTTCCTATCATTACAGTGACTGTTTCCATACATACCTTTCCACACAGGATATTTCTAAATATATTTGTTATCAAGTATATATATACATATATATTTAGATACATATAGTATATATATTTTTATATTTTTATATATAAAAAAATATATATAATACAAGGTATATATACATATATATACCTTTTCTTTGGCAGATACATTAACTGGAATCATTGAGCACTGTCAGAGAATCTAGTTTGTATAAATGCAACCAACAGAGAAGAAATATGACCTAGGAAATAGTATGTTTGATAGCGTTACGTAAAATACAAAATACTTAACAAACTTGCATTTATGAATATTCTGTCTCCTGCATTTTGTTCTTAAAAAATAGCTTATACAATTTGGCTTTTATCCACAAAAACACAAACAATAACAAAACATAAACAATAGAACAAATGGAATGAGTAACTTCTGTTCATATCATGAATCATCCAATGTTTACCTTTCTATGAAAATGGCAATTACAAAACCTGAGAAGGAAAATCCTGTTTTCACATACTCTAATGTTTCTCTCAAACCCTTCTCAGAGCTATGAAGAAAGGATGTTTTTTAAGACTGTGAAAAAAGTTTTGTTCTTTAATTCCCATTACAATTCAAGTGTTAGGAGTAGGGGAAAGTACTTTGGTTTACAATAATTACCGTATAATGTTTAATCTGCTAGATGCATTACTTGAGCTTATGTATTGGAGCAGCTTTATAATTCCCCATCTGTGGAAGTCTTTTTAAGATAGGATCTTTAAGGTTCCCAACTCAAACTGCCCTACTGTTGGAACATGAAACTCTTCACTTTATTGGGCCTTAAGGGTGCCAATTTACATAGCTATGTAGAAAAGTACTCACTAATTTAATTACAATGTGTAAATAATTTAGTTCTAACCACTAGCTAAAACAGTTTTATATCACCATCTAAAACTTTACAAGACAATGGACTCTAAACATGTGGAACAACTATAGTTATACAATTACACAGATGGCCTTTTAATTCTTAATGCTCAGAGGATATCATAATTGTATATGATTTTCATACATGCCAGTGGGAATGAAGTAAATATAAGGAAATTGTGAACATTTGAAACGTGGAGAGTTTCTTCCTCCCCCTCCCTTCTTTCAGAAAAGAAATACTTATCTACAGGAATGTGTATATTCCCATTTAAGAGCTACAAGGCCTGGAAACCTGGATGTTAAGATTAAAGCAACTTTTATTTTTACATCTTGCATAAATGTGGTCAAATTCAATTCTGTTCTAGCTTTTATTTCAATGGAATTCCACCCACTTATGTGCAATCTTAGTGAAGCTTATAGAGCATTTTTATAAGGATACAGGCTCAGCTTTTCACAGCTGCCAATGGCATTTAGAAGCATTAATTTTGTGGAAAATGGTCTCCCAAAGAAATGTTGACTGTATGATCAGAATTTTACTGAGAGGGTAAAAAACTGTTTTCTGTTATACCAACAGAATTCCAATTGACTTGAAAAGGAGCACATCAAATTCAACCCCAGTTTAGGTAGCTCAAATATATAACTGGAAATATTATATCAATAAAGACTAATTATGAATTCATTTCAGATGCACAGGTGTTGCATGCACTTAAATACATAATTTTGAGTTCTCATACATCTAATTTATTGTATACTGGTTATTATCATAGTATCAGCCTCCCAGTTATGCGTTGTATCTCAAACCTGTGTGTTCTCACATCCTTTTTCCACGAGCAGATGCCTATGAATTGTTTAAGTTCTGATTTTTGTTAAATTATGTATGTATGAGAAAACAATTGATATGTGTGAACTCAATGTCTTCAGTACTTAAGTTAACAAAGCCAGGGTTGAAAAACACACCTTGCATGTAAGTGGGAAGGCTAGTCTTTTTCTGATTTCCTAATGGAATTATTGCTCCTGTCGTAGGCGATTCCCAAAGAAAGGACATATAAATCTCTGCAGAAACAGAGAACAGCACAGAACCTTAGAATCACAGTAAGACAAATCATAGAGGTACAGCACTAGGTAGAACGGTTGCAACTCTTTCCGGATCTAATAAATTCATAAACTAATTTTTGGTTAATATTACAGCTGAGACAAACACAAGTCAACAACAACAACAACTACAACAAAAAATGATAGAGAGTAAGTTAATTTAGAACAGTAAATCTCAACTAGCTAGAAATACTCAGTTGGAAATTCATCTTAACAGCTACTGCACGGCCCCGCAGAAAAGCCCAGGAGCAATGGCATCGCCAACTTTGATGGGTTTAGGAACAAATAAATACTGAGCAATTCCATGGCCCAGTCCAGATCCCACTGAGATCCAGGAGATTTTGAATGAGACTGTATAAGATCCTGGCAAATCATTTGATACTCTATGTCATTGGAATGACATGAGCATTCTTGCTTGCCCACAACAGAACGTCAGTCTGAAGTGAACAAATACCAATCAAACTCTAGCATACAACTGAGCAAGCTTACAAGGAAGAGGCAGAGCCAGTTTAGGTGAGATTTTCTACATTAAGCAAGCAGCAAAACATTAATATTCTGTTTTATTTACATTCATCATTGCCATATGTCAAACTAGGAAAAAAAAAATTTCCCTTAGTCAGAATGTTATTTTGGAGCATTAGCTGTGAAATACTTTCAAATCCAGAATGACGCAATTTAGCAGAAACTACTGCAGAAGTGATATCTATCTGTGGTATCTAAGTTGATCATCCTGTTTTTTTTCTCATATAAAGTGAGACTTTATATTCAAAGCTACTCAAAAAATAATTTTATTTTGAAATTCCATTTTCAGTAAAAATGAATTATTAGTGTAAACCATCAAGAGTTAGCAGAAGTAGTCACACACACACAAAAAAGAGAAAATAGGAAACAAAGACACAGCAATCCTTCTACCCAGAGGTCCTGTTAATCCTTGGCAACATCCACTGAATGTGACCAAGAGGCTGTTCCACATTGCCAAGCTTCCTCACATATGTACGCACACTGTAATGTTGATATTTTATGAAAGAATCTACATAAAGTTTAATTACTCATAATCTCCTCAGCAGATACAATCTAATCCCTTCACTTTTTAACAAGTGAAGGCTTTGTATCAATGAAAGAACGTATTACATGTACATAAAAAACTTAAGAGATTGAAATAAAGCACTCACATTCTAAACTGTTGGATTTAACGCTGCTGAGATTATTCTATTGAAAATACCTTCAACCATCTGCATTAGAAACACTTTGGCCAAAGACCATGAGATTGCATTGACCATTTATCTTTGCAAGATAACTGTATGTATTTATTACCACAATATTTTTATAGAGTTGTCATTTCAGAAAGGAGATCTTCACCTGTGTAAGGGCAGCACAGCAAAGTGAATGATTTGTACATGGACACTCTTCTTCACACCCTGAGAGCTGGAGAGTTCCAAGCAAAGCACCAGTGGCCCACACTAATTGAACACTGTGTCATTTTTGCTGGAAAGAAATTACACTGGGAAATAAGAGCTTAAAATTATTGGCCTGGTTTGAAAAGATTAATTTGCAAGTTCTTGTATGTGAACAAAACTCTCAACCTCACTGCTTTCTGTGTAAGCAGACATATATTTAATATAGCAAGGCAGCCATTCTGCGTCTAAAATGGCAGCAGTCCATAAGCTTACAATTTGCAGACCAGCCAGCTGCAAGTCGGTTTTCTGACACCATTTCATACATTACTTACACAAATGTCAGTGTGGTTTTGGGACCAAATGATGACCAAAAGCATAAGATATGCTGTAGTTTGCAGTGGGAAGTATTTCTAGATGGGAAGTGGATAATGTTTGTGTTTGCCATCCTATCACCCTGCCCAGAAAGGCAAGCAAATAAATTGTAACTATGTTGGTAGAGCTCCTGAAATTGTACAGCAAACAGAACATAACCTATTCTGTCTGTATTTCACAGCTGAAGATATGTATCAGGAAAAAAAATATATATATATATGAATATAAACATATATATATTTATATATATATGAAAATGCTTTTCATGATAGCTATGCTGTGAACAGACCACCTGGATTATGGCAGGAGGTGCTGCTGGCCTCCTGCAGAGAAAGGCCCAGGGTACAGCCTCAGCTGAAAGCATCTCGGCTACAAGGAGCTCGGATCGGAGCCTGCTGTTGTGAAGGGAAACGGAATCCCAGCGTAGATCCAGTCTGGTATGCTTCTCTACCTATCGGAGACGGCACGACGTGAATGCTTCAGCGTTTACCGGGGTTATCATCGGTTGGTGAACAAAACCCCAAAAACCCGGGGCAGAGAGAGGGGACGTGAAGGGAACGCCTGACTTCAGGACACGCTCACGCTGTTCCTCTTGTAGTTCTGCTGAGCAGGGGCTGAAGCGACACGTCAGCCGCAGACGGTCTGATTCTGGACCGAATGTCGCCGTGCTCCGGGTGCCGGTGCTGACAAACGCGCTGTGACTACCGCGGGGCACCTGTGCTCCCGGAGCCCCTCCGGAGGACATCTCCGTCTCGGGGCCGCTCAGCGCCGTGCGGCGTGCCGGCCCTGCCCGGCTCTTACCTCGGGGCGAGGAGAGATGGGACGGGGCAGCGCCGAGCCGCGGCTCCGCAGAGCTGCGGGGGGTGGGAGCGGGCCGCTGAGGGGGGGGGGGGGGGGGGGGGGGGGGGGGGGGGGGGGGGGGGGGGGGGGGGGGGGGGGGGGGGGGGCCGAGCGGCGAAGGGGGCAGGGCTGCTCGCCGCAGTCACCCTCACCCATACCGCGCCGGGGAGGAGAGAAAAAGGCCCCGCTCCGGCGGAGGGATACAGCGCTCCATATATAGCGGCGCGGCGCAGGCTCACACCCCCAGCACTTCTCGCACCGCGCCGGGGAGGAGGCAGCAGCCGCCGCCGCTCGTGGTCGCGCAGTTCGTGCAGCCGCCGTCGGGCCCGCCGCCGCCGCGCCATGGTACGTAGCACGGCCGCGGGCTCGGGGGGCAGTGCGCGGGGAGCGGCGCGGTAACGGCGGAACAACGGCGGAACCCCGCGGCGCGGGGGTGGCGGGAGGCCGCGGCCCTTCCCGCCCGGCAGCGCTGCCCCCCGCCGCGCGGCTCGCCGGGCCTTTTCCTCCTCCTCCCTTCCCCTTTCTCCGGGCCCTGCCGAGCGGGACCCCGGCCCGCAGCGCGGCCCTGCGGCGCCGCCCGCCCTCTTTCCCTCCCTTCCTCCCTCCCGCCTCGCCCTCCCCGCGCTGCCCTCCGGAAGGGCCGGGCGCGGCTCCGCGGGTCTGCGGCGGGAGCCCGGCACAGCTGCACTGCGCAGGGAGCGGGGGGGGGCGGGCGGGCGGGCGGCCGGGGGAGGGTTCCGCGCTGCGGCTATTGCGCCCTCGCACCCCCCATCCCCAAAAAACGCAGCATCGCCGCCCGCATTACATCATGTCTCCTCCTCTTCCTCCCCAGCCTCCGCGCACCCCCGGCTACGGAGGGGCGGGGGTGGGGGGGGGGGGTAGCGCGCCTCGCTCGCGTCCCCGGCCCCGCGCGGGGGCTCGGCGGGAGGGGCGGCGGAGCTCCCCGGCCCCGGGGCTGGCAGCGGGGGGAGGGACAGCGGAGCGGGGCCGCAGTGCAGTAGCGCGGCCGCCGCCTGTTGCGCCGGCCCCGCCGTGGAAACGCATCGCCTCGGTGCCGGCGCGGCCTCCCCGAAAGACGAACGGCCGGGGAAGCGCTCGGGTTTATTTTTCCCCGCGGCTCCGGTTTCTGTGGGAGCTCGGGCTGCGGCGAGCTCTAATCGCTCCGCGGCCATCTGGGTGTAGCTCGGCGCTGTCTCTCCATCTCGCCTTCCTGCCGGGCAGCGCTGACATCACTCGGACGCGGGAGGGGGGGCGGGGGGGCCGGGCACGGCTCCGGCCGAGGCGCGGCGTGCCCGGGAGCCGCCGTCACCGCCCGTGAGCGCGGGCGCAGGAAGGAGCCCCGCGGAACGGGACGCGGTGCCGCGGGCCGCAGGTCGTGCCGAGGCGGGGCTCTGCCTCCCGGCCTGCGGGGTGTGCGGCTGTTACGTAAATGTCCGCGAGCTGTGAAATCTCGCATTTGCTGGAAAGTTGCAGAAAGAGTGGGAAGCCGAAGTGCGTTTTGGGTGTGTTTTCTGCAGCTGTTTGGTTCCGCAAGATAATTGGGTTTTAACTGCGAGCATTTTTGCGGGTTTTAACCACCCAGTACATGGCGTTGGTTTGTCACCCGGTACAGGCATTAAAATATTTAAAAAAAGAGATGAAGCTTGCTGCCTAAGCTCAGATGCAGCCTGTTTGTTACTTAATGCATACGTCAGGCTTTCAGCCCTGCACTGTTCCCCTGTGCCTCAACAGACCGTACAGCAGGGAGTTCCCAATTGTGTTCGTTGCTCTCTGCTGCAGTTACCCAGCTGTTGTACCTGAAAATAATGGGGTTTCAGGACAGAAGGGTTACAAGATGCCTTTCTTAGACCTATACAGTGGTTTGTTGGGGTTTGTACAAGCTCCTCAAAAAATGGGTTTTAAAGGAGTTGATACCTTGTGTTCACTGATACCTGTGTCAAGATTTGTAAAATCCTGCTTTGGGTTTGCTTTCTTGTCAGTGAGAAGAATTTCTTGCCATTGTTCCTCTAAGGAGCTGGTTAGCTCCTTTAGTGCAAGAGCTGGAGGTGTGGGTGATGCCCTGCTCATCCTGATGGAGCCTTCTGGAAGGATGTGGCTGGCACGGTTAGGGGCTGCACATGTGCTCCTGCCTGCTGAGCCCCTGGGTGCAGTGCTAGTCTCCCTGTGAGCAGAAGAAGGTCGCAAGCAGGTGCTTTCCATCCTGCTGCCTAAAGGGATGCACAAAATGGCCTTTGTGATAGTGGGAGACATCTTATGGTGGTCGGCCGGGTGAAGGAATAACACAGTGCTTGAACTGGCACTTCGTTTCTGTTGGCTGGTGAAAATTTGTGATACCGAGCAGCAGTTCCTCCTGTTGCAGCGAGGCCCTTTCCACAAAGCACGGTGCAGGCTCACGCTGGGGTTGTGCTGGGAGGACCGACCTGTGGAGGATCACTAGGTGGCACACTTGTCATTAGCCCACCAATGTGCAAATGCCCCCTGTGCTTGATCAGGGCGCTGTGCTTCTGGAAATGACATCTGATGTGATGTGAAACTCTAAACACATGTCATTAAGGATTTCATGCCTCTCTGACCAGTTACAAGGAGCCTGCCTGGTGTCCTTCACTTGACCAAATCGGGCTCTCTGAGTTGAAGGATGGTATATCTGATTCTTAATGGGCAGCTCGGAGGCAAAGTGGCTTTTGTGTCTTTGGAAATGGCTGCATTGTGTAGGTGAGTGGGATCTTCTGGCAGCAGGGGAATTCTGGGGGTTGAAAATGACCTTAATGATGATAAGTTGCTGCTGAAATTGAAAGGAAGTGTCTTGGGGCTTGACATAGCTAGAAGTGTTATTCTAAAATGTTCTGTTCTTCATGTAGGCTGACCAGCTGACTGAAGAGCAGATTGCTGGTAAGTGTCTTGATAAATATTTTTCTTGGCAATTCTTTGTGAATGAAAAAAATCTCAAATACAGTGGACAAGTTGTCTTTCTATAGTTTCAGATCTGTGCTAGCACTTCTTAAAAGCACTCTGTTCTAAAAAATTCTGGAAGATTACTGGCAATTCCATCCTGGTGTGTGCTGCTTCATTGGACTAGAGATGATTTGAGCCAGGCCTCTCTGTGTTTTTTACAAGCAATTGCTAGAATGTTGGTTGCACGCTTGAAGTCAGGTCAGAACTAGGTATCTTTTTCATGTGACTATAAACTTGAAGTCAAACTGCAAAAATAAAAGCCTTAAACTGATTTTTTAATTTCTAAGAGTGTGTCTAGTACAGACTAAATAGGAGAAGAAGCAGTATTGGGCCTTCTGGAGACCAGTCACACCCACCTGAGGTCACCAGTTCTTACTCTGTTTCTTTAGTGTTGTAATTTTACTCATCATATTCTTATTATTCCCATAAGCCATTTGATGCCGAAAGGGGAAGCTATAGGGTTCCCTTCACTTATCCTGCACAGCTGTTTGTGGTACAGCAGTGGTTCAATCAACAAGATGTTGAAATACGTCAGCACTGTGATGTGATGGTAGTACATTGAAGCCTAGGTCACGTGGCTGTGCAAGCTGTAGTTGATACTGTAACTGTTTTTTCTTAATACTTGAAAATGCTGATTCTGGTAATCCATGGGCAAGCTTGTTTCTTAAAATATTACCAAGCATTATTACTGAAATGCATTTTTTATGCAGTTTTACCTTATGCTGGCACTGTTATTAAACAATGGAACTGTTTCTGCCTTTAGAATTCAAGGAAGCCTTTTCCCTATTTGACAAAGATGGTGATGGTACTATCACAACAAAAGAACTGGGAACTGTCATGAGGTCGCTGGGTCAAAATCCAACAGAAGCAGAATTGCAGGATATGATCAACGAGGTAGATGCTGATGGTAAGTGTTAGAAAGATGGTTCTCATGCTGAGTGTTCTAAATATGTCTTCCATGCTCAGACTGTATAAAGAAGTTGTTGTGACACTGTTCTTTTGAAGCCAAATTTCAAAATACTGGCTAAAGTAAACTGAGAGGTGTCTGGTTATTCTTTGTTGTTCTCAGCACAGTGAAGATGCCAGCAGTCTTAAGTGAGGATCTGAATGTGAGGATAGGCAGAGACAAAGTTATGCTGTTGGTCTTTAATATTTTATGGGTAGCAGGCTTCCTATTGCTGCCCAACTTACCCTGACCTGCATTTAACCTGTGCTCCCATGTAGCTTTTCTAGATGTGTTTCATTGGCTCATGTTGTTCTGTGCTAATGTCTAGTTTTGTCTTAAGGCCAAAGATGTGATTAGAATGGTATAGTGCTGGACTCACAAGAGTTGAAAATGCAACAGGGAGAGACTGCATAGTTCAATGCAGTGTATTGGGTCACTAATAGGGGGTGGGGCTGGAGGCTATCACTTGCAGAAGTAGGAAAACCTTATGTCAGTCTTGATCAGAGTCGCTTCACGTGGGTGCCAGAAGAGAGAATGGTAAATTTTTGTTTCTGTGCAGGCTGACTGGCAGTTAGAATAAAGGAGAAATGCCTCCTAATGCTCACTGGTGCCAGGGCTTTGATCTTATGTTGGCTGATTGAAGCTTGCTGCAATATCTTGAAGAGTAGAAAGTGCATAGTCTAGAGCGCAAATTACTTGATTGTCAGACTTATGTTAAAGCTGCCTTTAGAAAATGGCAGGCGACTGTAATTGCCAGCTGTCTTTTCAGATACTGAAACTTCCTGATACTCAGGATTTACAGTGATATGTAGAAGATGTGTATAGTGGCTTATTCAGGTACTGTTCTGCAGCATTGCACTGATTGATTAAAATTGATAAGACTGTGGATTTCAGATAAGTATGCCCTGCCCATATGTTTAAACTTCTTTTATGGTAAGATGCTTTGCTAATAGTCTGCAGTTCATTGAGAGTTTTTAAGGCTTTGTGCGAGACTTATACTCCAGTTGGTAAATGAAGCTTGCCATTATAAATAGCTGCACATTTCAGTCTGGAATCCATAAACAATGAAAGCTTTCTAAAACTGCCTTTACCTACTTTGTTGTATTTACTGGATGAGTTTGTTTCCTTCAAGAAATGGATAGATCTTAGCCATGTAGTGAGCTACTTAGTGTTTTTCTTCAGCATGTAAGGTTGAATTGTGACTGTGCTAACCTGGCTTGTGCTCTTTGGAGGATCTTTAACTGTTTCTCTTGGCTTTGAGCAGTCTCAAATTTGAATCCTTACTTTGAGGTATTTAGATACCAGATTTTCAGTTTTTGCAGTGACATATGTATCAGAATAATTGTTGAGCTTATGAGAAATATCAAATAACGGCAGCTTTTTTCATAAGTTTGCAGATGCCTTTTGCCCCCTTAAAATCACACGTTACTTTTGTGGTGCACAACATGGGTTAATGAAGTTGGTTTTAAACAAGGAACTTCGGAGTTTAGATATTGTGGATTTGTATTGCTCTTCTAGAACATTACACAGCATTTGGGAAGAGGTTGAACAAACTAAATGATGAATTATGGGGAATGACGTTAAGTAGGTGAGTCTACAAATTGGTTAACCTTGAAATATCAGACTGACACTTTGCTTGTGACTTGGGTGATGAAAAGGTATGGCTTGTCCTGGAGAGGGCAGCTTTAGAACTTGTACTGAAACACTGAAGTGGAAGTGACTGTTGCATATTGTAAAAGGAAAAAGGCAGTGGTAACAATTTAGGAAAACATGAGGTTCTTATAGAAGAATGATGTGGAGAACCTGTCATTCTCATTCTTGTCCCTGGCTAAATTAAATGCCGAATTTTCTTGCATAAAAATAAGCATGGAAGTTTTAATTTTGGGGAATTTCTTTTTATTAAGGTAATGGCACTATTGACTTTCCTGAATTTTTAACCATGATGGCCAGAAAAATGAAGGACACAGACAGCGAGGAAGAAATCCGTGAGGCATTCCGAGTCTTTGACAAGGTATTCCGAAATCTTCAACTATCTTCAGAAGCAGTAACGATGCCCATCTTTTCCTCAGTGCTTTCTCACTGGAAGCAGAAAAGTTCTTTAGTATAAAAGTCCTATAGTATAGATAGGGGAATTGACAGCAGCAGTTTCTGCCCTGTTGCAGAGCAAGGAGGTTGTACCTACCTACATAGCAAGGCTGAATTTAAGATTCTTCTTGGAAGAAATCTCACTGGCCTTCCCTTGGGAGCAGAAATGAGCCGAACTTGATGCCTGGGGTGTGAAAGGATGTGTTTTAATCTTATGTATTTACTGACTTTGGGGAACTGGGGAGATGTTTTTGTGGGTGTGTGAGATTGTGATGCATCATGAAAGCTTCTGAAGCAAGTTGTCACTAGTATTTACAGGACATGAAGTATTGCATTTTCTGCATTCAAGGTATGGTCTTGGAAGTTGCATTCAGTGAAACTCAAGCTCAAGTCCTATGTTCATTAAGGATACCTGGGTGTACATGACAAAAATTCTGACAAGCTATTGTTAGAGGAGAGGTTTCCCTCAGTTGTTACAAGAGAATTATTGTGCAGTGGCTGATGCAGCTGATATGCCAAAGGTTTCTCTACTTCTTATGGAAAAAGTGCAAGTCTGATTCTCTTCTGGAAAACACATGGAAATGTTGGATTCTTCAGTTACCATTCACCTCCCCTCTGATTTTATTTTTGCAGACTAGATTTAAGTGATGGCAGGTATGACACTATCAAAGGCCCTGATGTAAGCTGGTGCATTTTTCATGTAGGCAGAAGGGGACAATTCCTGAGATGTCTGAATATATGCTCTAGGCTTGGATGTTACTAATAGGAATGCTGACTTAAAGTCATCATTCTCTTTTTGCCATTGTGCTTTTCATGGCTGCTTATGAGCAGAATTAAAATGCTTTTTTTGAAAGTGTGATTTGTTCTAAATCTTAAACAAGAAGCCTAACCTAGCTGCATGAGGTCTGTTCATAGAAGCAGTGCTACACAAAATAGGAAGCTGATTTTTACTGTAGGGGAATTGATCTTTTTTCCTACTTAGGCAGCACAGGTGAAATAAACATTTTTTTTTAAAGATCTTTAGAAGCATTAAAAATGCCTTACCACAGTTAAAAAAAAAAAAAAATAAAATCCAAGTTGTTAAATGTTGTGGTTTATTCTTAGGTACTATTATTAGATAAGGATTTAGTGGGATGTAAGTTTCATAAGGTGATGGAACTGGTACTGATGGGAGGGTTATAAAGTGTACTGGATGTGTTTCATGTGCTGTAAGGCTAGTTTAAAAGCAGTCTCTAGAAACCTAGGTGTAGTTCCAGTGTTAATCATTATCAGGGTTGTCGATGATAATCTTATGAAACTTTCCCCACAGGATGGCAATGGCTATATCAGTGCAGCAGAGCTACGTCATGTTATGACAAACTTAGGAGAAAAGCTAACAGATGAAGAAGTAGATGAAATGATCAGAGAAGCAGACATTGATGGGGATGGGCAAGTCAACTATGAAGGTAATGGATACTTATACTGATGCAAACCACTGGTTGAATTTAGTGAATGTATGCTGGATAGGATGTATTTCCTAGTATTTGAAGGCAACTGGTTTATTCAGGCATCCACTTTTGTGGACAAAAATCAGATGCAGTGAAGTGTTTTATGCTAAGGTTAAAATTTATGTAACAGTTGAAAGTACTTTAGAGATGATAAATTGGTGACCTTTTATCTTTTCAGAATTCGTACAGATGATGACTGCAAAGTGAAGAGACCTCCTTTACACCTTTTTTCCTCTAGAAGAATCAAATTGAATCTTTTACTTACCTCTTGCAAAAAAAAGTTCATTTATTCATTCTGTTTCTGTATAGCAAAACTGAATGTCAAAATACCTTCTGTCCACAAACTGCATGTAATGGTTGGTGGTCCTGTTCCCAAAAGATCAAGTTAAACATCAGTTTTACAATATAATTAATTGTACTACCTTGAAAATAAATAAATTAAAAAAAAAAAGGAAGCACTTAGTGAACTCGAAAGTTCCATTTGCTAATGACTATTACACTGTTTGGGCTGGCCAGTTTTTCATGCATGCAGCTTGACAATTGAGCACAGTCAGACATTTGTATTAAAAGGAAAAAAAAAAAAACAAAACTCAAAGATCCACTCTTTTGTTCAACAGTGGATTCTAGATCAATTTGTAGTATAAATTGTCATAGCTGGTTTACTTTAAAATTGGTTTATACCTCAGGATGGTATACAGCAAAAATGGTTGAAGGATATGAAACTTAGAGAAAATGCCCAAAAGGTTGAATGGTTCTCCTGTACGTAGCAGTGTGCTCCAAAAATATGATGATCTTAACTATGGATGGCATGTCTGTGTTAAAAAATATTGGTTTAACATTGTCTGCATTGCACTATAGTGAAACGGGTGTCGGGCTGTTACCGTTCACAAAATTTTTAAAAGAAACCTTCACCAAGGGAGCATCTTTGGACTCTCATATTTTTAAAACCTTCTGTACCATGACTTGGAGCTGGCGGAGTAGCCTGTGGACTTCAGCACAACTATCAACATTGCTGTTCAAGATATTACAATTTATGTCCATTCCAAGTTGTAAATGCTAGTCTTTTTTTCCAATAAAAGACCATTAACTTAAAGGTGGTGTTAAATGCTTTGTAAAGCTAAAATATATATATAATTGAGATAACAAACCAAAAAAAGCAGTAGGAGGGAAGCGTTTCTATGAATGACTTGCTGCTAAATTATAATGCACATGTATGCAATAAGTTATCCCCTATCTCTTCAAGATGGCAAGAACTGACCTCCTGTAACCCAAGACCTTTGCTATAAATAAATGAACTTGTGCTTGCCTTTCATATTACGACAATGTTAATTTAGTTGGTCTTAAAGTCGTGTAATGCTGACTCGTCAACTATCAGCACAGAAGTAACACCTCATTTCACTAAAGTGGAGAGCTCTCAGCATGCATGTCAATACTGGGGGAAATATGGATAGGTTGCTATGTTTTTTTTGACAGGTTATAGAAACTAGTTGGAGCACTAGAACAGCATGGGCTTCATAGAGATCTGTGATTATCAAACATGCCAAAAATGCATTTCTCTACCCACAGGAAGAAAAGAAATGAACTTCTTACAATATGCTTAAAAGAAATAAGCCTTTTTGGAAACTGGGGCTATTATGTCTTGACTATCTTCTCAAACACTTGCATGAATTTTATGGGGTGGAGAAGAGGACTAGGGTTAATTTTAAAGGTCTTGTTACTTCTGCTTTGCATGCACTAGCAATGCTTAGTCATTCCAGGTCTTTGAGTAAGTGTTCTCTGATCCTTCAGCTTCCCCATGAATGAGTGGCAAAGCAGCTGTGCCCGCTCTTCTTTGTTTGAAAGAAGAATGTTTGGTTTTTTTTAAGTAGCAGAGCCTCCATGTGGAAGGCTATCAGTGCTTGGGAGGGAGGGACTACAGCTTCATTATTTGATTAAGTTTGTTTCCAAATGTAATTGGAGTTGCAAACCTGAATTGCTTAATTGCCTTTGGTTTTGGAGAGTGCTGATACTATCTCTTGAGAGAGATGTGAGTCTCCAGTAGTCCTGTCTAACTGAGGTGCCTGTGTTAAGAACTTGGTTGGAAATGCAGCCTCACTCAGTGGGGGTAAAGAGACACCTCCAGGAGGCAATTAAGACTGTCTGCCTTCAGCGATTCTTGGTTTTTTTTGGGGGGTGGTTCTGGGGGTTCTGGGTGACCAGGTACCTAGATAACTTAACCAAGTGCCTGAAAGTTAGATGGGTTGAATCTAGGCAGTAGTGTAGATCTCTAGTTGTAAAGGCTATTGCTACGGCTGCATATGCCGTCATAACAAACCAGCTGCTGTGATGAAAATGCCTGACTACCATTTGGGAAGTAAAGCCTTGCATGGCAGCTGCAAACTGCTGCTTTAGGTAGTGCTTGAGAAGGGCTGCGCTGATTCTGCAGACTGGCTTTTAAAGAGATGGACTCAAGAGGCAGGCAAGGTAGGAGCAATGGTTGCTGCTCTGAGCAAATTACTTCTGCCTGAGTGTGCAGAGAGATCTTGTCTAGTAGGTAAATACTTCTTACCATCTATCTGTCATTCACTCATGGTTGGTAGGGTAGTTCATTTAAGAACAGCTGCTTTTAGCTTATTCAGTGTGCTCTGTGCTTGCTAGCAGAGACCTCATTCCTGCAAGAGGTTCTTGGCTTGATTAGAAATTGTCTGGCAGCGTGCAGTGTTGGTATGCCCTGTAACTGAATCTGCCTGGAGGTATCTAATTAACTGACTTCAGTACCACATCAACCTCGAGTAAATGTATCCTCTGTACAGGACTTTAGCTCTGTTCCTTTCTGCATAGTGAATATCTAGAGAAGTGTCATCAAGGACTTTTTTTTTGTGTGCGTGTGTGCGTGTGGCTTTGGCTTTTTCCAAATGTGAACGTGTGGGCTGGATACACTTGGTGCATGGCTTAGAAACATGGGACTGGAAAGAACTTCCTGGGTCATCAGATCCAGTCCCCTGCTATTGCAGGCAACCGTGTCATATAATCCTTTTAATAAACTGATCAAGCTTAACCACCTGCTTGTAAGTGGCTTGTTTTCATGGAAGTTCTGTAACTCATGTTGCTCTCAACTGATGCAAATAATATATGAAATATGAAGTTAATCAAAAGGTCCTCCAGCTTAGCTTCAGATTTGTCATTACACTTATTTAACTATCTTTCTCAAAACATGTTTTTCTTTGCACAACACTCAGGAAAGTGTTGAATCTTTACACCCCCTTGTTATGAATAAGAGTTGGTGTGCTTGCTTATTTTTTTTAATGGAAAAGATGGATGTCTGGCTTGTTGAAACTTGTTAGATGTGTTAATTGTCAAGGCAAGAAACAATTGAGTTGTATTTGATACATAAATTTAAGGCTAGAGTATACATAACCATTTTTAAAATACATCAACTTGCAGTGTAGTTTTATATTTAATACTGAAATTGTACTGCTAAAGTTTAAACTGCTGTTAATCATATTCCTCTTCTGATCATAATGAAAAAATAAAGGGTAAGACAATGCTTAACATAGATTATTCATTATCATGCTTATTTTATTAATCACTCAGGCACGCATATCCTAAAACGTCTCCAGGTATGGGGCATTTGCTTTGTGTGCTGGGATGGGGTGGGATGAAGGGGGAGGAGGGGGCTACCAGTCTGATAGAAAACTCACTGCAACTGTTCATTCCGCTTCTGCGGCTTCAGTAACACTGATGCTGTCAAGAATTGATCAAGATGTTAGCATACATCTTATTGATTAATTAATTGCCTGTGGGTACAGGTCTGATCCATGGGTTGTGTGCATGGTGCTGCAGCTGACATCTCTGTGCCCTGCACAGCTCGGTGGGAGGGGAAGGAGGCCGTGTCTTGGTCCCTGCAGTGCAGTGTGTGATAACAGTGCACATCCTTCCTCCCAAGTGACGCCACGTTAAACTAAAAGTCTTGGTGTTTAAGAATAATGAAGTTGAACAGAATGCATTTTCCTACTGTGAAAACTAACTGGAACACCTACCTTACCAAAATCCATTTAGAGTTTGGGTTATTTATTTATTTTAAATTCAATGATTTAAGTGAGATCTGACAGAAGGTACTGTGCTGAGACCACGGGATATATATCTGGCTATTGACACCTAGCAGTTAAGTGAAGATAGGTGATGAGGGCCAGTGCTACGTTTCCCTGACTGACATTTAGGAAAGCAAATCTGAATCTACTCCTAAGTAGAACTGATGAACCCTTATAATCTGTAAGACAAATGCATATAGTATTATTTGGGGGGCTTTCACAGAAGAAGGTTGCAATTCCAAAATATTAAAACTTGTGGATTTTTGTTTGTTTGCTTTTAAATCCAAATACAGGATTTTGAAGTAATTAAGTAAATAATGAGTTGCATATGGATTTGGAATTCTGAAGAGTCCTAATTTTATTTGCCATAGCAAATTTGTATGAAGACCCTGAGTACTTAGAAGATCAATACTAGATGTTTTCTAAGAACCCCTATTCAGCAAGTATTTCAGGGAGGCATTCAGAGGATATTTGTAACAGTTTATAAATGGTTTTAAGCTTGATATTAATAAACTCAGTTCTAGATGAAGTGGCCAAGTATCGTGCATAAATGACCGAACTGTCAATTACATAGAGGCTGAATCACTTACAATCCCCCAGATGATGAGGCAAGCTGGTATCCAGTAAGAACTGAGTGCCTACTTTGGTATCCTCCCTGCTGGTAACAGCAGCCAGGAACTTTGCAGAGCAATGCTCCCCTCCCTGTGGCACCAATCAGAAGCCTCTTCTTGCTTTCCTGAGTACTTATTTGCTCTGCAGAGGAAAGAACACATTTCAGAAGCAAGAATGACCTTCTTGACATGAAACTATTCAGTTCCATAGGAAAAAAAAAAAATCAAAAACCACAAACATTTGATTAAAAAAAGGAGCCTACTGCAGCAGTGGGTTAAATTTCTCCCAGATTCCTGTGTAGTTGGAGAAGGTGAGCAACACCATGAGTGTTACAAGAAAAGCATTTAGAAACAAGTTTCCTAGCATCTCCACCAAAGGCTCTAATAAGGAGGTTACAGGTTATTTTGTGCAGCATCACAGGTCCAACAGGTGTGGGACAAATCTGGCTGCCTCTGACAATGAATACTGCAGCCTCATATACACTAACTTCTTGCTCTGGTCTTTTCTGCTTAATTGACAGGGAAATCTTGTTCAGATCTCAGAAAAGTCACTTTCATATCAGTTCCCTTTGCCTTGGAAGTCAGCATGTACAGAAATACTGGAAAACACTCCTCGTAACACAACCTTTTCCTGGCAGCAACATTTCTCAAGATAGCTAGTGGTTCAAATACAATGTAAGAACTGGAATGAATAATCACCTAAAAATGAATCATTCTGAATGTAGTTTATTTCTACATCTCTAAATAGGAAATGCTTGGAAAAAAATGGTTGTTGAACAAAAGCTGCTCTACCAGTCTCAGCATTTAAAATGAACACAGTATTTGAATAGGAACCAATTGAATCAACTGAGTAAGTAATAAAAAGATTAAATTTATCATTCCCCATTTTGCTAGACTGCAGTGGAATTGATAGTTCTGAATTACTATCAGTGGACTAGCTGTAATTTCGGACTTAAACAGATTTTTTTTGCTAACTGCTTGCTTAACCAAAGTACAGTGAAGACGAGATAGGAGACATACAGAGGGAGGTTATTTGGGAAAAGCAGACTTAAGCACAGTAGAAACTAGAACGAGCAGAAAAGGATGGGAAAATGCAGAGTGATAGCACTCTTTCTGGTAACTGAAGAAACATGTAGATATGATGCTGAGACATGTAGTTAGTGGACATCATCGTGATGGGCTGGTAGAGATCTTTTCCAGCCTTAATGACTGGACTGTAGGATTCTATGATCAGTGCAGTAATTATTCTGAAAATGAATATGGTGAAAGAAAGGGATAGGGTGTGAGGGAATGAGCATACCTGAACATAGGTCTGCTTTGGTTTCTTGTCTCATGGAGTATTTGTTGCCCACAAATTTATAAATATTTGGTAGCAAGCATTCTGGGCAGTAAGTTTTTCTAGTGGTGGTGCTATCCACTTTCCTTAACACTACTACTCTCTCAAAAACAAACAAACAAAAATCCACCAGAAAAAAAAACAAAAACCAGACCACTACACACTAGGTCTATATATGCCTAGAAATATACAACGTAGGAAAGTTAACTGTAATTCAGAACTTGCCAGATGTTCTTCACTTCCTTTTCAAATACATTAAAATGTATTTGAAATGTATCCTGGTAGGACATAAAATGTAACCAGGACTTCAGAAAGTTTTTTTACTGAATCTCTTAATATTTTATGACAGAATATTTAGCTCCATAGGAATCTGTGTACAACATCAAAATTATTTTCTCAGGGATTTTGACATAAAATTTAATGGATATTTTCAAATGGCCTATTTGTTACTTCAGATATTAAGAACAAAAATTCCTACACACAGGTGGGAATGCCCTGACAATCAGACCCACTGTGAGCATAGAATCATAGAGTCATAGAATCATAGAATGACTTGGGTTGGAAGGGACCTCAAGGATCATTAGGCTCCAACCCCTCTGCCACAGGCAGGGCTGCCAACCTCTATATCTATTACTAGACCAGGCTGCCTAGGGCCCCATCCAACCTGGCCTTGAACACCTCCAGGGATGCGGCATCCACCTCTCTGGGCAGCCTGTTCCAGCACCTCACCACTCTCATAGTAAAGAACTTCCCCAAAATCCAACCTAAATCTTCCATCCTTCAACTTAAAACCATTTCCCCTTGTCCTGCTATTATCTACCCTTGTGAAGAGTTGACTCCCCTCCTGTCTTTAGTCTCCCTTTAGGTACTGGGAGGCAGCAATTCGGTCACCCCACAGCCTTCTGTTCTCCAAGCTGAACAAGCCTAGCTCTCTTAGCCTGTCTTCATAGGGAAGGTGCTGCAGCTCTCTGATCATCATGGAAAGCATGGTGCTGTCCGCCCTACACAGTTGAACTGCAGACAAATTAATTCAGTCAGTACATCCAGACAACAAGTAAACTCCCTTTTCACTGCCACTGAATCATAGAACCATATAATGGTTTGTGTTGGAAGGGACCTTAGAGATCATCCAATTCCAACAGGAATTGGACAATGGACATGGCTGCTACCCACTAGATCAGGCTGGCCAGGAAGAAACCATGTTCTACAGCACAGTGACCATAAGCATACTTAAATAGTGAAAAATGCATTTTTTAATTTATTTTCTATCGAATTAACTTATAGAGGATGGTCTGCAACTTCTTTTATATATTACTCTTTTCTGTTTTACACATTTGTATACAGAAAATATTATAACAAAATAATGGTCCCAAGAAGGCAAAACTAAGCACTCAAAATTTAGAAAATACCCAACTAAGGTCAACTGTGAAATGCCAGATTGGACTGTTGCAAATGTAATTGCAAAAGATAATGACGCTGTCTTGGCTCATAGAGGCAGATATTACGCTGCCCACAGGACTTTTTGCATTGTTTGTTAAACACTTCATTTCAGCTTTCACTTTGAATGCATTATTCCATACTCAAGTTACTACACAGCTCTTGTTTTGAAGTCAGAATTACTAGTTTCTTCATTTTTCCTATGGCACTGAGGTATCTGCAAATACTGCTTCGTTTTTTATGACATACACTACTTTCTTTTTTTCCCACAGTGAAGTAAGGACGTGTTTTACCTTCCTTTAAGAGAAGAACTGAGGTACTGAGGTACAGTCACTGAAGTCCAAGGCAGCATTATCAGAGATGTTGAGACTCAGATTTTCCAGTTGTAATCATGAGCTGTTCATGGTACACAGTGATTCCATCAGCACCAGCAAGCTTCTTTCATGGCTGAGAATCCATCAAAGCCTCTGGACGAGGCAGTTGGTGAGCGATTTTCATAGAGGAAGTGCCCACTCATACAGACCAGAAAACACAAAGAGAGAGACCAACTGCATGGCATTTCTGCCATGGCACCAGCACAATTTGTGCTCGGAAAGCTCCTCTTTTGCCAGGAAAGAGGAAGGAGCTGAAATAAATAGGATTTCATGCTAAAACCACATCATAAAGGGATTGGAAGGGAAGTGGGCAAAGAAAAGTGTTCAAGAAACTCAGTTCTGGCAGTTTCTGAGGCTTAAGTTTGTTCTTTCCCTGCTGTTTTGGTCCTGTGATTTACTACACAATTACAGCAGTGTGAAAGCAGAACTGTGCTCCCAGCACAGGAAGCTCCATTGCAAAGCATCCAAGTGACACAGCCTGAGCCACCACCAGGCCTCTGCCTCCGTGCCCAGCGCAGGCCGCACAAAGCAGCAAAGAGCTGTGACTGCACAACAAGACACAGTCATGTCCCTGAGATTCAGGCTGGGGGTGGTCTGGGGTAGCCAGGCTGTTAGTGTATGCAGTGAGCAGGGCGCCAAGGGTGTGCTGTGCTTCCTCACCACACCTGACGTGCAGCCTTTGTTGCAATTTCTGCTTTTGGAAACAA